GACTGAACATGCCCAGTATCTTTCCTCGTGGTCAGGCTTATGAAACCTTTTATAAATTTTTGTTGCTGTCCTGTGGACTCATCACCAATTTCTCCACATCTTTCCTAAAGTATGGAACACAGAACTGGATATACTACTCCAGCTGAGACCTCATTGGTGCCAAGTACAGCAGGACAATTACCTCCCATGTCTTATGTACAAGACTACTGTTAATACATTCCAGAATTAGCCTTTTTCACAATTGTGACCCATCATAGTATGGATCCTTTTCAGCAGTATGACCCCCTAGCTAGCTATTCCCCAGTCCATAGTTGTGCATTTGATTTTTCCTTTGAAAGTGTACCACGTTGCACGTGTCTTTACTAGTCTTTACTAATTTCATCTTATTGATTTCAGACCAATTAGCTAATTTTCAGGGTCCTATTGAATTCTAATCCTGTCTTCACAAGTGCTTACAACCCCTCCCAGCTTGATGTCAAATGCAAATTTTATAAGCATGCTCTCCACTCCATTATCTAAGTCATTAATGAAAATATTGACTAGTACCAGACCCAAGACTGACCCCTGTGGGACTTCACTAGATACACCCTCCCAGTTTGACAGCAAATCACTGATAACTACTCTGAGTATGGTCTTTCAACCAGTTGTGAACCCACCTTATAGTAATTTCATCTAGACCTCATTTCCCTGGTTTGCTTATGAGAATGTCATGTGACGCTATCAAAAGCTTTATTGAAAATCAAGATATCATGGCTACTGCCTCCCCACTAAGAAACCATAACCCTGTCAAAGATGGAAGTTAGGTTGGTTTATCGTGCTTTGTCCTTGACAAATCAATGCTGGCTATTCCTTAGAACCCTATTAACCTTTAGGGTGCTTATAAATAGATTTTTTTAAAATAATTTGTTCCAGTATCTTTCCTGGTGTGGAAGTTAGACTGTCTGGTCTATAATTCAATGGGTCCTCTGTGTCCCCTCTTTTAAAGATAGGTACTATGTTTGCCCTTCTCCAGCCCTCTGGGACCAAACCCATCATCCGTAAGTTCTAAGATAATTGCTAATTGTTCCAAGATTACTTCATCTAGTTCCTTAAGTAGCCTGAGATACATTAGATGTATTAATGTCAGTAGGGCCTGATGAAATATTCTTTAACCTGTTTTCCTCTTTTGGCTGGCATTCCTTCCCCCTTGTTGTTAATGTTTAATATTAATGTGTAGATATCTGGTCACTGTTTACTTTCTTAGAGAAGACAGAAACACTACAGGCATTAAATACTGCTGCCTTCTTGAGGTCATCACTTATTAGCTCTCCTTCCCCACTAAGTAGAGAATCTACATTTTTCCTTAGTTTTTCTTTTGATTCTAATAAATTGAAAGAACCTCTTCTTATTGCCTTTTAGGTTCCTTGCTCAGTGTAACTGATGTGCCATAGCCTGGTTTTTATCCACTGCATGTTTGTGCTTCTTAGCGGTTTGTCTGTTTCCACTTTTTGTAGCATTCCTTTTTGATTTTCAGGTCATTACAGAGCTCCTGCTGGAGTCATATTGGCCAGTTCCTATTCTTCCTATCTTTTCTTCACATGAAGATAGTTTGCAGTTGTGCATTTAATATTGTCTCCTTGAAAAACTGCTAGCTCTCCTGAACTCCCATTGCCCATGGGTTTGCTTCCCATGGAATCTTTTCTTCCAGTTATTTGAGTTTGTTAAACTCTGCTTTTTTAAAGTCAATTGAACTTACTCTGCTGCTGTCACTCTTTCCTTTCAATCATCATTTTTGATCATGTTCATCCAAATTGCCTTCCACTTTCAGATTCATAACCAATTTCCTGCCTGTTGGTGAGAATCAAGTCTAAAATGGTCACCCCCTGATTACTACCTCCACATTCTGAAACAAAAAGGCGACCCCAGTAAATTCCAAAAACTTGTTGGAAATTCCACATGATTCAATTTATTTTGGGACATATCTGCATTGCCAATAGACTATGTATAGTCTCCATATTAGGATGTTAAAACATTAACATTGGATTTGGGGTGGCCTCGAGTACCACTTTTAAAATCCCTACCAAGCATTTCATTGTATGATTATGCTCCCACTGTTTTTTTTTTGCATTCATACCATTACTTGCTAAGATAAGAAATAGATTAATTCTGACAATCCTTCCATGGAACTTGCTTTATCCTCTCTAAAATCTACTACTGCTTTAAAAACTCCCCGACACACACACAGTTGACTGGAAAAGTGATCTTTGACGAATGCATTTCGTGTTGTTGAGATGCACAAAAACAGTAAATTAATATTAATTCAAATCCTGCAGTCAAATCCTCAAAATTCCCTGCATGGTTGACAGAAAATTTGACCCTGAAGGAGTTTATACCATCCACTGCTTATTTTAATATAGGAAATGTGCAGGCTAATTATGATTACTTCTGTCCAACTATTTCACTGTTGTTCATGGCATCAGAAATATCAAGTGTAAGACTGAGGTGTGCCGAAAGTGTTGCCCACCATACCTCCCTCTGTCTGAGGACATTCCTGAGCTCTACAGACCAAGTGCAGCATATACTCTGGCAGTTACTGATGTCTTTTTTTGAAAATTCGAATGTACTGAGCAGTGTCCAAGTGTTGCTAAATAGTCCTCTTTTGTGGGATATGGACCTTGCCAATTGAGAAGAGACATCTGCCTCCTTAATAGGTTGACAATTATCAGCACACACTGGATGTGTTCTTATCTCCTGTTCAGTTACTGTGAATTAGCTAACACAAGGTAAGAATTCACCTTCCCCTCAATAAATACAAGGCAATAAATCTCATCACAGGGTGACTGTGTTTTCTTCCCCATCCCTGGAATACATTCAGTTAAGCTTAAAGGAGGCAATACTCTTCCCTTCTTGGAAGCGTTTCCTCAGGAATACCTCAGACAAGAAAGTTAAAACAATTGGCAGTTATGGTACCAGCACTTTGTGATCATTACATAGGAAGCTAGCAGGAGGAAATGTTCTCTTGTCCTTCCCACTCCCCACTTGAGACCACTGCAATAAACATTCTCCGGTATGCTGGCTTTTACATCATAGCGCTAAAAAAATAAAATAAAAAAAATACCACACTGTATGCTGTCTGTATGGGCATCCAGACATGGCAACTTGGCTTTGATTCAACAGAATCTGACTGACTTGTTCAAGCTAAAAATACTTTCCAGCATACAATTTTAGTAAGGAACGAGTGTTTGAATACACACTTGCAGTTTAACACAATAATACTGTAGACACCTCTACTAGTGGTACCATTAAAGATAAAGCTTCATTTAATAAAATTATTGGAAAACAATGCCAAGACATCTAACATTTCTGTGCTAGGATTACCTGAACATTTGTCTCAGTCAATACATTTATTTTTACAGTTAGGTCTCCAGCAGATTTTTTTGGTCATTTATTCCATTCTTTTCTAGGCACCTCGGTTTACAATAAGGAACAATAGATATTGTCTTGATTTTTGGAAACATGTAATATCAATTGTTCCTTAATCATAACTTAATCCATAATCATAGATTAGTCATCATATGTGCAAGATAAATCAAGATATATAGCATTCCAGATAAGGCAAGTCCATGCTTTGCATCTAGGGCAGAGGTGGGCAAACTACGGCCCACGGAACCATCCCTGCCCAGCCCTTGAGCTCCTGGCCGGGGAGGCTAGCCTCCGGCCTCTCCCCTGCTGTCCCCCTCCCCCACAGTTACGCTGCCACACGGGCAGCGCAGCTGGCTTTGTCCAGGCAGCGGGGCTGCAAGCTCCTGCTGCAGCGGCGGGGTGGGGGTGGATAAGGGGTAGGGGATCCCGGGGGGCAGTCAGGGGACAGGGAGCAGGAGGCAGTTGGATGGGGCGGAGGTTCTGGGGGATGGTTGTCAGGGGACAGGGAACAGGGGGGGTTGGATAGGGTGTGGGAGTCCCGATAGGGGTCGGGGTGGGGCAGTCAGGGGACAAGGAGCAGGGGGGGGACTCTGAGGGGGGCAGTCAGGGGA